TATGTTTATATTTTTATTTATTTATTTATGTATTTTTAAACTTTTCTTTCTGGACCTAAGTAGGAATTGACTTAATTTTTTTTTTTTTGGAGGGGTATATTACTTGTTTTTTAATTCCTTCAGGATGAGTAGCGACCAGTTTGACAGACTTGCAGATTCTATATCGTATGAAAATTACGATTTATAAAATTGGTTTGGAATACAGTATATAAAGAGAATTAAATTACTTAATTCTCTTTATATACACCATCCACCATATAATAAAACCAACTTCATATTTTTTAACTCGCTCTCCCTTGGTCTTTTGTTTTTCTTTTAATTTATTTTTGAATTTAGAATGAGGTTCAAACTTTGGACAGTTTATGAGAAATTATGTGATAAAATATGCAATAAAGTAAAAATAAAGAGAGAATTTATAGATGATATATGATAAAGAGATGCAGATATATTTTTACAAAAGGATTTCTATTTGCACTGCACATTTTTAAACTAAATTAAAAACTATAATAATAATGAATAAAATAAGAAATGAAAACAATAATAATAGGCAGAATAAGAATATAATGATTGATGATTAAATATAAGAAACACGTTTCAAAACGAGAAAAGCTAACTTAATTATACCGTCTACGGATGAGGTTCGAACTCGCCACCTTTCCATTCCTCCGCCACCAAAGCAGCGCGCTGACCACTCAGCTATCTGTGATAGCAGTGTTTGTGAAAAATAATGTAACAAGTAGAAGTCGCTGCAAAGGTAATTTAATTAAACTTCAATAAATAATTGCTGTATGCACAAGTTGTAACTTTCCTCCAAAATTTCGTGATTGTATTTTATTGAATACTCTTTCACAGTCAACTGCTTTATTTAGAAGTTATTATAATTGCTGAAGTTAGTTTTTGGTGTATTTAATATTGGGATATTTATAGAGCTTTTTATTACACTTGATATAGCCAATATTTACAATAATTAAGGAGAATTTTGTATGGCAGAAACTTTGATTTCGTAGAAACTGTAATTTATTTAGGTTCCTATTACTTACGGTGTTATAAATAGGTGAAGCATATGGATATACTGGTCGGATCATTGCTTTATAAGTATACAGTTTTCCCCTTCAATGAGAATTTAAAATGTATACTAATATGTACGGTTTGAGAAATCTGAAGATGGCGTGAACAGTTCTGATTATTTTATTGCTGTATACAGTTATATTTCTAAGCAAAAACTCATCTCTGTGTGGCTCTGACGCCATATTGAAACGGGTAAGCAAGAAGGTTTTCTGATTATGACACGTGATAAGAACTCAGTCGGCTATTGGCTATACGCGCGCGTCGCGGGCGAAAAAGCTGAACAGGAGCGTACTCAGTTTTACGTCTTCTGCGTCCTGCGAATTTACGCCGGCGTCAAAAAAGTTACGTCAACTACGTCGGGAGCGTCCTCGTGTGGACGGGCCTTAAGTCGATTGTAATTACGTCACGTTCATAAAGCTCAGTATTATGCTTATAAAAATTTAATGCATTATGAATTCCTAATGTATTGTGAATTCCTTATGAATTATGCTGTATGTACGCAAGTAGTTCCTGAATAGAATGTTGCAGGCAGGTATGTAGCTCCAATGTATTATGTATTTGTATGAATAAGTGGTATGCGCACTTCCTTGGCCTAATGTATCACGGGAGAAAATTACGTAATCTATGTCCTAAAGCGCTCTGTATTATATATTTCTGAAGTATAAAGTTGTATTCACGCTCATTGTTAAAGTCTAGTATTGTGCTTATAAAAAATTAACGTATTATAAATTCCCGTTGTACTATGAATTCCTTAGAAATTATGCTGTATGTATGTAAATAGTTCCTGGACATAATGTTGCAAGCAAGAATATAGCTCCAATGTACTATGTATTTGTATGCCTGAAGTGCTAAGCACTACGCATTGCTTAAAGATCGTGCACCCTTTGCCAAATGTATCACCGGGACAAATTACGTAACCTATGTCCTAAAGCACTATGTATTATGCATTTCCGAAGTATATAGATGAAGGTATGTATGTGGTTTCTATGCCTGTAATGTTTCTGTATTATGTAGTACTAGAATTGGGTACTGATACTAGGTTCTATGTAAGTATAGTTTATGTATTATGTAATACTAGGATATAATTTTGCTAGTAAGTAGTTCAAATGTTTTATGTATTCGCATGTTTAAGTAATAAACAAAATGCGCTGCCTTTGTTTTATGTAATTCCAGTCCTCATGTATCATTGGGACACATATATGAAATCAATGACCTAGAGTTTTTAATATTATATTTCTCAAGTATAATGCTGAATGTGTGTATGTAGTGTTTAAGAATGTAGTTTTGATGTTGTTAGTAGTTAGTGGGTGTAATATTGTAAGAGAATCTGAGGTCCCTCTGTAGTTCAAAGTCCAATGTAACGGTATGCATTATGTGGTAAGCATTATGTATTGCTTACGTGTATGTACTCCTTGTCCTAATGTATCATTGGGGCAAATATATGTAATCAATGTCCTAAAGCTTTACGCATTGTGTATTTCTCAAGTATAATGTCGTATGTATGCATGTAGTCTTATGTATATAATTTACGTACTAGTTCTTGGCATTAACGTGGTAAGTATGTAGAACAAATGTATTAATGTATCATTGGGATATAAATATGTAATCAACGTCCTAAAGTATTACGCAATGTGTATTTCTCAAGTTTAATGTCGAATGTATGTAGTCTTATGTATATAGTTTATGTACTAAGTAGTATATCTCAAGCATAATGTCGAAAGTATGTAGTCTTATGTATATAGTCTATGTACTCAGTAGTTCCTGGTATTAATGTCATAAGCATGTAGAACAAATGTATTAACGTATACGTAATGTGTATTTCTCAAGTATAATGTCGTATGTACGTATGTAGTTTTATGCATATCGTTTATGTACTACGCAGTTCTTAGTATTGATGTTGTAAGTATGTAGAACAAATGTATTATACGTATATTCCTACGCATTGAGTGGTCTGCACTATTGCTTATGTTCTATGTACTTCTAGTCCTATCACTTCTTGTCTTGTGTACTCCTCGTCCTAGTATTATGTATTATATTATGTATCCTATTGTATTATGTAATCCTTGTATTATGTACTTCTTGTCCTTGTCTTATGTATTAGTATGTATTAAGTGGTCTGCATTAAGTATTACGAAAGTAGTCCAAATGTATTCCATCCCCCTGGATTTCCTCTTCTGGTGGGCAGACTTGTAGGTCAGAGAAATCAGGCATTGGGTCTGTGTGCGAAGCGTGAGGCACTCATGTGGCCTCTTGGGGTTATTCTCTAGATGGTTGCAGGCCCAGGGTAACACACAGTAGTCATAGAAAGCGGTCCATGTGCCCTGTCCTGCTGTCACCTGTCACCTGTAGGAAGGTCTCGCATGACTACCTTGATAAGATTTTGTTCTTTTGTTGATAAGTTCTGAAGGCCACTTTTTTAACTTACAAGGTATTTCTCCCACCTTCCTAGCTTGCTTTCGTGGTGTAGTGATCATCTCACTGAGCCGGTATTTCAGAGATCCGTGGTTCGATTTCCGACCAAGGCTTTGCTAATTTTTTATCTTGCCTGCGTCCTAAATACCTAATGTCTCTACAAACCTATGTATTGAATGTATAGCGGTGAAGGTAAAATTAACCGTAATGGTTTCTTTCGTACTGCACTTTTACTCTTGTGCTGCTATAGGAGTCATTGTGAAATACAGGATCAGTGGTGGTATATTTGATTGATCTTTAACTTTGAGCAATTTAATATTAGCTGATAATTTAACAATGTCTCTTTAGATGTCATACGTTTACATTACGAAATGCTGTGAATAAATGAAAATAATATCAACTTCTACCACTCCTGTTAATCTTTATGAGGATTGTTTGTTAATAAAATTTGTACATCATTTCATTATGAAAAACTTAAATTTGGTTTTAGAAAGAGCCCGATTAATCCATCGCCGGATAATCGGGACAACCTGCAATACCTGCAAATGACTTTCATATTAATTTTTTTCGGTAATTAAAACTGCATCTAGAAGGATTTTCTCTAAGATGAATTGACACTGTTCATTAAAACTGAGAAACAACACAGAGATAGTGAAAGGTCATTCAGACGGACAGAATTTTCATACCTTGAGGTTAGCCAAAACACTCCTATAAAGATAAATGAGTAAAGGTTACTTCTCAAACACAACCTGAGAGAAGATGGGAGTGCAACTTCTGTATCCCATCTTCTAAGTTTCTCACATTCAAAATATTCCCTTTTGGGTTAGACACATTATATCCCCAAAGGGTCATAAATGTTCATGAAATGCTTCTAAAAATTACCGTAGTCCATGAACCTGGAAAGGAGCTGGCGACAGAAGACTAAAGCAAAAGCATGGAAAACATTGATCATATTTGTATTTATGAAGTTACAGATCGATTAAACTGAATATGTATCATTTCAGAACAATATTGAGACAACGTGTATAAAAATAAACTACGAAAGTTCTAAAAGAGCTGTAGAAAGTAACAGCAAATGTGATGCAGAAAAACGTAATGGCATGCTATCATCAATTAAGTCCAAATAAGCACTTGAAATTCTAAGAAAATTTCTTGAACTGAAAGGCGCTGATCGAAAACATTTTCAGCAGTCTTACGAGACTGAGAATAAATACAATTAAAAAAGACGTGTTTGCAAAAGCTAAAATTTCACCCAAAACATAATTATAAGACTAGTGTTATTTTAAAATATTAAAATGAATAGAAAAATTGCGTCAATTCTTTAATTTTTAGTTATTATTTTAAAATTAGTTAATAAATTAATTGTTACTAATTAGTTAATAAATTCATTTTACTTGATAAGTTTAAAAGTGATATCACGGTATGCAATATATTAATCGCAGTTTTTATATTCAGCTGCTTAATAATTTCAAATATGTTTGGAACGGTAGTGATTTTAATAAATGGAAGTGTGCACTTACTGTCATTCACATGGTAGATCCGTTATTATAACCTCCGCTCCCTGCAACAAATGAACCTGAAAAGGAGAATATATATATATATATATATACAGAGAAAATTTATTTACTTCAACTAATTCATCGGATTTCAAAAGCCTGCAGTTAAAAAATGTTAAGAATAATAAAATAAATACTACATGAAAATATGTAAATATTTTTCAAATTTAACATTATAAACGGACAATGTGTACTTATTTTGCTGCATGGCACATATTTAAGCAATATTTCAATTATGCCTACATGCAGCAAAAAATATCTGTACTGATAGTTACCAAAGAGCTTCATAATGATTCTGGAGCTTCTCTGATGTTGCTGGTAATGAGAGTACATAAATAATTTTTTAACGTACTCTAAAGAGAAACGTATTGAATGGGAAGTTCTTGATGACCATTTGAACGACGTTAAAGAATTTTTCCCATGTAAACAGATCCAACTGTGTGGGCACTCAAGAAGGAACCTCTCTTTGAACAACGACTGAAAACAGCTACAGTTTGCTAATTCTCACTAATGAACTTCGCTTCGTCGCTCAATAATAGATGGGTAGAAAGGAAGATTTAAGATAATGGTTACAAAAAATCAGATTTTATGATCCATCTGCTTTTTTATCAGGTTAATTTGTTAGGTTTATTGATGTAAGCAAATCAGGCTACTGGCCCACCAGCGGCCGAGCGGCAAAGTCGTTGAACACTGGTAGTTCGGTCCAAGGTTCAAATCCCCCTGAACGGGCTGAAATACTGCTGTATGAACTTTTTCGTAGCTTTCCCCATGTGTAACACGTATATGAGCCTGTTTCCCTTAGAAAGTGCCCTAGTTGGATTTCGAGTTACAAACTTTGCGATTGTTAGCCGGATATGCTTTCTAACTACACCAAGAAGGTACGATGTAAGAAGGGACAAAAACTTTTGTATAAACTCTATAAGGAATATAAGAAAAGTCCTGCCTAAAGGAGGATGCTTTGGTGGAGTACTTTTTAACCGTAACTGGTTCGTATACACTTTTCACACGGAGGAAAACCATGAAAGCAAAACTCCCATGCAGCCAGCTTGTTCGCCTAAAATCGAACTTAGGTCGTAACTACCAGTGTTCCGCGACCTTACCACTCGGCCGCTGGTGGGCTGTTTTCATGGTACTCTTCCGTTACCAGGATCGAATTCAGAAATAAGTGTAAATATGCATGCATGTGTACTATAGCAGAAAAAAACTATAAATGGATACACCTTCTAATACGAAATGACCCAAAATGGCTAATAAAGCCTTAGCCTGATTTGGCCTTATGTGGTACGAGCATCTTATTTACAAAGTTTTAGTTTTGACCATTCCGTATTATCTATTTTAGTTTATTTTCTCGGTTCCTAGGCGGCGTTAATTGACCGTAAGAACCAGACTGTAGTTTTTTTTTTTTTTTTTTCTTTTTTGGTTAATGAGTTCGAAGTTTTATAATTTTATTATTAAAATCATATTAATTAGCTTTTAAGTTTGTGTAATTTGTATGTTTTAATTTGCTATCATTTGTAATTTCAAAGTTTGCCAAATATATCTTTTCTTGCCATTCCTTGTTTCAAAACAGATCATATCGAGAAGAAATGTTTTTAAGTTAGAGCTAAAATCTCTACATTTGTAATAAATACGAATTATAAAGTTATGTTAAATTTTTATGACTGCCTGCATGTGTTAAAACAGTCAACAATACAGAGGTATTTCAGGTAAAATAAATTAACGCTTTCGTTAAAAGCCGACGTTATAAGCGTAAATGTGATTTTCTCTCTCTCTCTCTCTCTCTATATATATATATATTATATGTAATAATAGCACAATTTTGGATGCACTGATATAAGAACACTGAGATGTAAATGCACAAATATACTTGGGGCGTAGATACTTGATGCTTAGAGCGTCCATCCATTTTGAAGAAGAAGCAGTCCAGCCTGATTAAATCCTTATTATTTAAATTCACATTTTGTAGTCACAATTTCTTGGCACTCAACTCGTGCCTATTAAAGATCATTTACAATTTTTGATATTATTGCCATAGAAGCAAATATAGCAACTCATACATGATTGCAGTAAAATATCTGGCGAAGAGGAAGCACAAGCAAAAGTAACGTATCAGTTCATAGAAAGAAGGGAGGGACTCAAAAGTTTCAGTTTTTGTTTGGGTTTACAATTCGGTGATTGGTCAAGAGGCATCTGCATTAAGGTTTACTTAAGATCGCATGATTATTATGAATGACGCAGTTTAGACTTACAGCTCTATTTTTAGGACAGAGAGATGAAGTTACCAAATGAAATAAAAAAATAAAAGAGGTTATGGTGAATTAAATTTTGAAGTTTGCTTTTATATTTTTTATCTTAAATATATCTATATATTTTTACATATAAATATATACAAAGATATTATATATATATATATATATATGTAATGGTATTTTTAAATCAATTGATTAAATTAAATTCTAATAATATTGCTTAATAATGTGTTGGCGATTCTCTACTTAAATTGCATCCCTGTTCCTAAATTTTGGCGAAATCCTTTCTTTAGTATAAAATATATTAACCTGTTGGCGCCCGCCAAATCGCCAAACTCATAAATCTGTCATATTACATAAAGTCTTTAAGAACACTCCTGATGAGAAGATAGCGTCACCTCGTGATTTCAATTAATATCGCTGATTGGATGAGCCTCGTGACGCACACATATGTATAAATAGGGCTTCTGCTCGTTTTTGTACGAAAGAAAACGCTTGTGAGATGGATGCTAAAATAAATCTACCACTTTATATTCCAAAATGTGTCTCATTCCTGTTGCCCCGGCTGCACAAAACAAATAATGTATGAGAAAATACATTTCATATATATATATATATATATATATGTCATAATAAAAGCACAAGGAAAAGACGGAACACTGTAGATACGTGATTACCCATATTGAAGAAGATTTTGATTGCGTAGTGTGCTAGTAATGCTAACTTGGTAATATCTAAAGAACTTGGCAGTCGAGGCAGATTTAATTCCATTTTTATTTGAAACTGATATTTGTGGCCACAATCACTTGGCACTCTAATCGTGCCTTTCCACAGAAGATTTTAAATTTTTGATATTGTTGAGATAGAAAGCAAGCCAGCGAAATTACATCTTAGCACAGTAGAGAGCAAAAGCTGAAGTGCGTGGTTATGAAAGATGGAAGCACGGCGAGGAGTTTTAACGTTTATCATAAAAACATTAAAGAAATTCCTACAACTCAAAAACAATACTTTCATTCTTAACATACAGTAAAAATAAAAAAAATATAAATTCATAGAAATTTAAACAATAGTACAAAAATCTTATTCACATTAGGAACCTTCCCTAAGTAAAACCTTCAAATTCTTTACCTGATTTTTATCAAATTCAATAATTTATCTTTTCCAATTCAGAAATACAAAACTACATTTTAAATAAATCATAAAATGTTTGAATTATTAACTTTGATTTTAAAATGACTTAAGCAAAACTTTATCATCAATAAATCATAACGCAATAACCTATAAATTTTAACATGTATTTACCATAATTTCATATTACTTATCTGTACTAATTCCACTTATTTTTAACATCTACTTTATTTTCAGAATAATTATAAAATTCGTATTCAAAATTCTCAACAAAATTTCAAAAACATAAAAACTTACCTTAATATCCTTCCCTATGAATAATTTAAAGAGCTTTAAAATTCGTTACTTAATTTGCTCACACATAATTACGAAAAATTAGAAAAATTAATGAACAAGAATTTCAGATTTTCTCAAAACAAATTGCAGAAATTTTAACCAAAGTTGAAATTAAAACTATAGAATCTGCAGCACATTAAATAATTTAGTTCCTGAGCTATATTCACACGAATGCAATAATTTTTGAGCTGTTGAAAAAGCGGAAGTGCAATTAATTTTCTGTCGCACATACTTGAAACACTAACTCAGATCGACCTTGAACCCGCTGTAATGCTTAATTCCTAAACGGTAATTCACTGATGATTCACTGGTAGTTTGAGGCACAGAATTATAATATAATTACAAACATTAGTTCTTCCTCTCTATTCTAAAATCGTAATAACTTCTCTGCATTGCGTCATTTCTAGATCACTCTATGGCCCGCGCAGCTCTGATGACGTAATAATTGTAAACCAAAACTTTTCTCTCCGCCGTGCTTCCATCTTTTATAACCACGCACTTCAGCTTTTGCTCTACTGTGCTAAGACGTAATTTCGCTGATCATTTCCTTTTCACTAGGCATTCGAACTTCTCAATTTATCGAGAAGTTACTTTCAATCTGTAAACACTATGCGTGATTATTTTTTGAAGCGCTTGCAAAACACCACAGCAGTAGAATGATCTGTTATTTTTTAAACACTGAAAAAACAAATTTGATGATTCATTTTTGATTTCACATTATCTTGGATTTATCACAAAACGATGATTTGAAAAGCAGAACTAAATTTTCCATTGAGGATTCAGGCTGCAGGAAACTATCCTTTTTATAAATATGTAATGATTTCAAATGCGTAGAGGAAAGCAGTGGACCTCTCAACAGCTTACAATACTGCGTAGATGACCGAGAAGACCGTAGTGTCTTGAAGATGGCAGAGTGGAAAGCATGATGACGCAATTTGGCACGACATATCTTGAAAAATCACAATCTTTATTTTTCCCATGCATATCAAAAATCATCCTTTTTCAGACAAGATATTTCTTAATAATATTTGAATAGAATAACTCCCTTGAAGTACGACGTCATCTTAAGCGAGTAAGTGGCAGCAGCATGTATGAAAAGCGTCTTACCAGCAGGAGAGCTAACGCGGAAAAGGGCAGAGTATCATAGAACTTCAGAGGAAGAAGGGTGGGAGTCGGAAAAGTTTCAGTTCACAGTTCTGGTTTACAATTAATTTGATTGGACAAGAGGTATCTGCATTAAAACGTTAATAACGTAAGATAGAAAACTTTGGAACCTGTGAGAAGAGATGAATCTAGGGGCAGATCAC